TAATTTGTATTTACTATTATTTTTTGTGAAACAGTAGAGAAAATTGGACTTCAACACACAAAGTGTTATCTCCATTATATCTCCATTATTTTATTTTATCTCCATTATAATTGTTATAATTTTAGAGCTTCGGTTTGCCATCACTCATACCCAAGCCTGTCGTACCTGAACAATTCGACGTTAAAAATGGAACTAACTATGACTTACCCAATCCTATGGCATCAGGGTATGATAATTTAAATAAACTTAAAAAAACTTTAAGTTGCAAAAATTAATTAACATAATTTCATTTGAAAGAATTTGCTTTCACTATTGATGTACAGACTACTGTACTTACTGCAAATACTAAAAATCTGTAGTTCATGTTACTTATATTATAGATTTTCAGTACTTGCAATAAATAATGGAATGTATTACAAAATCTTTGTATATCTTTAAAAATAGTTTCTTTTAAGAGATAGTTTTTAACATTACTCTTGTTTATTTAGTCTGTCATCAATCCGACAGAGTGTTGGTTACACACATCCCTTGGAAGCATCAGAACGAAATGTAAGATTTATTTTCTCGTTCTCTCTCTCTCTCTCTCTCTCTCTCTCTCTCTCAACATGGACAATTTTAAAATAGTAAATTGTATTTGTTTTAGTATAAAAAAAATCAAGATCGCATGGATATGATATTGCTTAGAAATACGCAAGGACTGCATGCACCACTGCGCATAGCAATGGAATTGAAAGCCACTGAAAACATTGGAAGACTTCCATTTTTATCGTCGTCTAATGTGATGCGAGATGTTTTACTTGGAAAAGATCAGAGTATAGGGTATTTACAACAAATATATTACTGCAATGACAAATCAGTTTGTATTTAACAATTTTTATCTATTTATGTATTATTATTTATAGATTTGAAGATGTCTTCAATACATCTGAATTCAGAGAACAAATGGGACAACCACATGCCGTCGTAGAAAATCACCTTGGAATATTGTAATGTTCATCTTGCAAAAATTTTGTCTTAATAAAAAATGAAAATTTATATAATCTTAATAACTATTAATAAATTAATTCTGTATAATTTTTGTAAGTTAAATATATTAGGTTTTTTTCTTTTTTTGGCGATATCTTTTAATAAAATTGCCAAATCTTAATATCTAACAAATTCAATAAATATGAAAAAATTTGCATTCAATATTATATACTACAATAAAGAAAATATCGGTATATTAGTTAAAAAAAATATTAATTTTGTAAGTATATAATAATAGTTAAAGTATATTTTTTACAAGTATATTTTACTCCTGGCTACTGCCAATCTTTGATTAACAAAAGAAAATATGCGTTTTACCGGGAATTATACACCATATAATTTAATGTCAACTTTTGCTGTAACTTGCATTTGTTATTAAACAAACTTAGTTTATAGAATATAGTATCATTAAATTATTATGGAAGTTTCCTGCCCGCTGTTGTAAAATATGCAATTACTTTATCAGTAATTTACTCATAAGGTATAATATTTTGCAGTACTTTCGTTACGTGGACCTTCACGCGGAGATCAAAGATGTCGACATGAAGTGCCCGTATAGGTTATATTATTACTGTGGTCAGTGTGGTCACGTCTCTCCTTACCTTTGTATATATTCTGTGCTCCTTACCGCTCAGTTTCTCTCGTGAAAATCATGGAAATATTTTGTTCCGAGATTCATGATAGTTAATACGTGTTGTTTACCATGTAAACTAAGTTGACCGCAATGAAGAATCAGAAGAATTAACATTTGATTTGATTTGAAATAATCCAAATATCTTTTGTGCTTTCGCATTGTCTGTTTGCATCAGGTAAAAGATCTTTTTTAACAATTTACTATTCTTTATGAGCAAGTCGTAATACTCTGCGACAAAAGGTAATAAAAACAATTCGTTTTAATCAAGGTAGTACTAAGAAATACCAGTGTACTTGATAATGAGCCACGCTTCGATCGGTTGAAATTAATAGGAGAGAATTTCAAAGCGTCCTCCACGGAAGTGGGAGAATTCTCTTTTTAAAATTGAATCCAAGTGATTTTGACACGTAATATTAAAACATATTGACATACGTTGATACTTGAATCTGCAACCATCTATATCAACAATGATGAAACATTGTCAAAAAGCTCCTAAGATTCTGGACGGCGGTTTTTCCGGGCAATTGTCACGGCATGTGAGTGCAAAAATCGATGGTGATCCGCTGTGGACAGCGCGATTCCTTAAAACCAATGTTGATGCCATATATGCCACACACTTGGATTTTCTGCGTGCTGGTGCTGATATTATCGAGACTAATACCTATCAAGCATCTGTACCTGGCATGATGAAATATCTGAATATAAGTGAACATGAAAGTTTGGACTTGTTCAACACATCTGTAAATTTAGCTAGAAAAGCTGTGGATGATTACATTCGAGAAGAGAACATCCCCTTCGAGTCGAGACCTATGGTCGCTGGATCGTGCGGTCCTTACGGCGCTTACCTAAACGATGGGTCTGAATATATTGGCTCCTACGGAAAGAATATATCCCGACAAGAACTAATTGAATGGCACAGGCCGCGCGTTAAGGCACTATTGAACGCTGGTGCTGATCTTCTAGCTTTTGAAACTATACCCTGCGTCGAGGAAGCGGAAGCCATTCTAGAATTGCTGAAGGATTACCCACACGCCTGTGCCTGGCTCTCGTTTTCATGTCGAAATGGTCAATTCATGTCGGACGGTAGTGTATTCCAAAATACAGCTGTGCGTTGTTACCGCACTTTGCCATTGCAGATCGTCGCAGTTGGCGTAAATTGCATCGATCCGAAGTACGTGACTCCCTTACTGAAGGGTATCAACGAAAGCGCTTCATCGGAACAGGATTTTATTCCCCTGGTAGTATATCCTAACAGAGGTGGCAGCTATTCTACAAGCGGCGAGTGGATCGCAGTCAAAGACGATCATTCTCTGAATCTGCCCATATCAGAATGGTTGGACCTAGGAGTTCGTTACATCGGCGGTTGCTGCAAGATCTTCGCAGAGGACATTAAACTAATTCGATCGGAAGTGAATCGACATAGCAAGCAATTCTGAACAAGTGATGCCAGCGACTTCCAAATATATTTTTTTACAGATATTGATACATATACCCCAGATTAAAACCAGGGATTACGAACTCCTATTGTTCTCACGGCATCTGATTAAAACCTGGGTATGCGTTGTCCATTTTATCAAATGTGATCATTTTTCTATTAATTTTTCTTATATATTACCGGTATTACACGGTCTCCGGATTGCACAATTTTATATCGAGATTTTATAATGAGAAAAAATTGGAAAATTATAATTTCGTTATCGACTATTTATGTAATAATATATAAAAGCTATTTACAACGCTCAGATCCGTCGTAAATGTATGTGCTTTACCGGGCTTCCCATTTTGCCGCGCAAAAAAGGTGTCATATAATCCATGGTGATCTTTTTCCATCATGATATAATCTATAGAAATCAACGGTTTAGCTGGATCTTAATGCTTGTATGATTCTTATGTGAATTTATATACTACGTGTGTAGTCCCCAGAAACGCGCCTCGGTAGTCTGGGTACCTATTATGGAAATAATCGGAATGGATTCCGATCGGAATTATTTCGTTTTCTCCAGAAAATACAATAGAAATCTAGGGAATAATTGAATAATTTCGATCGGAATCAATTCGGAACATTTCCATAATAGGTGCCCTGATGGTTTAAGACGCTCGCATGGAATGCAAGAGATCCGGATTCGACTAATAAATCCCGGCCGAGGTAATATTTTTCACAATAAGAATTAATTATTTATAGATTTTAATATGTCATTCAACATCTTATTATTAAGATCGTTTCGAAAATGCGAATAAGCATCAAAAATTTGCTAAATTGCTAGTCAATTTAACTCGTGATATTACTGCGGTAGTTTAATAGAGTTAGCGTTTCAAGACCGAAAAATTATTTCGGCGCGCGTTTCTGTGGACTACACACGTAGTATATAAATTCACATAAGAATCATACAAGCATTAAGATCAGCTAAACCATTTTAGGCGTTGATTTCTATAGTTTGTGTTATCACTATATATATCCTATAATATATTATAATGATATAATCTATTTTAAACAACATGAAATTGATACATAAAGAATAATTTATATATTTGCATCTTTGACATTTATGCGCACAAATATCATATTATTTAAGTAATTTATTCAATGAAGTATTCATTTTTTTCTGTTAATGTTTTACATAAGTTCTTTACAACGAGATATAATACATTATTTTTCACGCTAAACATCATGCGATATCAACTACGTTTTTTAAAATCTGTAAAATTTTTATTGATATTTAATACTTCGATACAATGGTATATCTAATGTCTCGAAAATAAATAATGTGTGTATTCTCGTTTCGTTAGTACAAAAGAAACAAAAGTTTTATATGTAAAGGAATTTTTGCTCTGAATTGTAATACTCTTTATTGTCAGGTACGCCATTGTTTCCGCGTGTATAATACATGCGTATAAAAAAACTACAGTAAAATTAAAAACGACTAAAATATACATTTCGTCAAAATGATTTATAATAATTATACAATAAATTAACGACTGATATGATTTACGTCAGTACAATTGAACTATACAGGGTGAGAGAGTGAGAGAGGGAGCGAGGGAGAGAGACAGAGAAAGGAGAGAGAAAGAGAAATCTAACGTATCGTAGCCTGGAATTTTGTCATTTATCTCGTCATATATTAAAACAATATAAATAAATGGAAGCTATTGCTTATTTATGAAATACATTACTGTCATAAAAAATGGTAAAAAGCATTGTGTGTGTGTGTGTGTGTGTGTGTGATTTCTATACTATCTATAATTAAATTCATAAATGTAATCACTTCGAGATTTCTTTAGATAAATAGCCATAATTTTAAAGATATTAGTTTCTTAATCACTATCTGAATCTAATGAGTAGTAATGAGTACATTGTAAAAGGAATTAATATTTATAATAATAATATTGTTAAACATTTCTATCACGCGAGTCTCAGAGTCTAAGATGAATTTATCCGCATGCTAGCATCTTGTGGAGAGGTAACTAGCATCTCTATAAAATCCAGAAGGACAGATGCTGAAAAAATACACGAGGGATGCTAGGCATTTGCATAAATTAAAGCGTTCTTAACATTCTACGCTGCTTTTCTGACGAGGCGACATGTTAAAATGTGAAATTTTGCGAGTTTCTTTGCCGAGTTTTTCTGCCTCCCATACGGTGTCCGGAAGTTTCGTTCCTAAAGTTTCCGGGAAAATCAAAGACAAGACGCCTGCGATCATACCCATAGTCCCAAACAGAATAAATGGCAACGAAGGCATTATTTGCATCTGAATGTAAATAAGAAAACGTCATTAATGAAGTGTTTTAGACAATGTAGTTTGTACGATGAATTTCTCAAGAGTGATTGAAAAGTTCATGTAAAAAAGATTGCAAACATGCTATTTCAAATATTCTTCGCGTGCTCGAAATAAAATATTATTATAAAATACCACTAATGTCATTTATAAAAATCATATTGTTCCCTTATATTTCAGAAGTGACAATTAAAAAAACTAAACTTTTTAGAAATTATTTTTTAATAATAGAAAATTATTGACTGATCATCGGTGTAATATCAGCAAGAAGAATGTATAACTCTTAGAAATATGATCAAGTATTATTTTTGTTTCACAGTTCTTAAAAATCTATTACTATTTTGAGTTGTCACGATTTTGGTATCCTATAAAATCTTAACAAATCAGGAATAATTCATCAAAAGTAACATAACTTTAAATATTAACCAACAATTTGTCTGTATTTACCTTGAATTGAAATAACTAAATTTAAAATAAAACAATTTCTTTTTTAAAATTTTATTGTTAAAACTGTCTTAACTCTAAATGTTCTCTCTAGGAGACTTTCCTTTTTATTTACAAAAATGACAACTCAAAATGCTCTTGTAAAAGTTATGTATGATCTCTTTGAAAATTGTGAGAGTCGATATAAGTGCTATTTAGAAGTGACTGATAGAGTAATCTTTACATAACTTATTCACGTGGTAATAACTCGAAATCACATTTTTTATTACTTTTAAAGCAAGGGACTGATATGCATATTTATCAGGTTTAGAGAGAATATAAACACGAGAATGTATCAATGATAATTTTGAATATATAATATTATCTATAAGAACAAAAGTTTCTTGAAAATCCTATTAGATCCGAAATTACAGAAGAATAGATCCGCAAATCTGAAGTATTCGCGACACAACGTTATTCGGGAAGCACATATTAAGAAAATCTATGTTTATTGCAACATTTGTTTATATTGACTCACCAAAAGAGGTGTCTGCGGCGCTAAAATTGACCCAATGCGACCGATCATGCTGCAAAATCCGAGCAGGGAATTTCTGAGCGTTGTCGGGAAAAGCTCTGCCGTGAAGATGTAGGTAGTAGAGAACGCCATGGCGATACACAACTTCCCGATCATGTATAAAAATAAAGGTCCATGATTCCAGGTTCCTGAAACAGAGCAGCAATAAATCATCAGAATCGCGCGCCGTGGCAACCCATTATAAACTGATCTAATTACACGAACAACACGATTGTGACTAATTATAAACCGATCCATTTCTCCTTTTGCATATGGATCAAATTGATTTTGAAGAATATTTTAAGTGACGGAAGGATAGTTTTTTGAACAAAAGGATGCCGACGCGTATTCGATCGGGATATTTTTTTGTTTATTGACTGGCATTTTATAGAAGTAACTGTGCGAAAGGAGAAATGGGCAAAATCATTTCTGAAAAGTCACTCCAGGAACGTACCAAACTTCAACCAGCTCTGTCTGAGAAACCTCTTTTCTTTATCTCTTTACCTGCCGGTACGAACTGACTTGCGAGACAGAATAGCCCGCTCAGCATGAATGCACCAGAAAGCGTTGATTTACGGCCAATGTGATTGTTCAGCACGCAGCCGATGCAAAATGCTGGTATCTCGACTACCGCAACGAGTACGAAATTGAGGTACTTATCGCCGCCAAACGCCACTGAATTTAACGACAGTCCGTAATAAACGAACGTATTTGTAATCCAACAGAACGAGCAGACCAGCAGTCGAGTAAGTATCACTGAGCTATGTAGAACTTGCACGATCGGTTTTCTCTTGTCCAATATCACCAGCTCGCTTTTCTGAAAGATCCGCGTATTAATGTCATAATTACAAAAATCATGTGCAACTTACTACTTTATACTAGCGTAATATTTATAGAGTAATACAAAAGTTGCTGTACTGAAAGTTACGAACTATAGTTGTATCTTAGATAATAGTAAGTAAATTTGCAGAGAAGGCGTTTTTATTGCCATAATTAAATATACGTTTGCAAAAGAAAAAAGAAAGATAGGTGAACGTACCGTTTCAGCTACATTTTGCTCTCTGAACATATTGATGGCCTCGTTCGTTACTTGCAGGCCGTTCATTCGGGCCATTTTATAGTATATTTTATCCACTTTTTCATATTTTTTCTTTGACATTAACCATCTTGAAAACGATATTATGTATTGTACATACATTTCGCAGATAAGAGAATGAAAATGACATTCCACCGATATGCAAATGTTCATTAAAATTATACAAGATTACCTAACTGATTCTGGAATGACCAGAGGTACGAAAACAGCTAGTAGTGCCGGTCCGTATACTATCCTAAGAAGCATTCGCCAAGATTTTAATAAACTTGCGATTAATCCCAGTAAAACCTCACCCACAGCGAATGTGCTAGATATTATAACGCTTCCAAAGACTCTATTTTTCACTCCCATGGTCTCCATCCCTAAAGCGAACAAGTGCATGGCATAAATTAGTATCGAACATGATCACGCGTAAGGTATGTTGAAAAGAAACGTGGAATTAATATATATATATATATATATAAGCTCTAAATGCTGTTTTATAGAAATTTAAATGCATGCTATATAAATCTACAACTACAATTTTAATAAATAATTAAATGTACACATAGTAAATTCAATAAGTAACTCGACAATATCTGCATGTTGAATTTTAAGTATATTTCAAACGAGAGTAAAGAGCACTGCGTCCGTGAACTCATTACAAGACATAATAACGACGTAACGTTTACTGGTGTATATTTTTTACTCTTCCTGAACATATTTATTGTTCTATTATTAACGTACCTAAAATAAATCCCGCGCTGTAAATTCCAGCCACTATAGTGGCATTGACAAATTCGAATGTAAGAAACATCCAATAATTCACGGAGAAGGACTGTATCAAGCCACTGATTCCAGATAGAGACGTCGCCACCATTAAAATTGTTCGTCTCCCATACCTGAAAATGAAAGAATAAACACGGATATGCACTTCTCGTTGTACCGACAAAGCATATTTCTAATTCCTCGCAATACGCGTCATACGCTACACTTTCTTTTTTATCAAGAATTCATGAAATTGATTATTTGTAGGAACATTGTTACGGATCATCTTACTATTCTGCATTATGCAAAATTAAACGTATCCTTATATAAAATTAATTAATTAAAGTTTCGAAAATATTACGCTGATCTTTCACCTGTCAGATATGTATCCAGAGAACATCAAACCGACAAATTGACCGGTATGTTGTATCGTGCCCACCAACGTGAGTTTCCATCGATTAGCATCGCAGGTAAAATCCCACTGCGTTAAAATAAACAAAGGAAAAAAAATTAATCTGTTACTAAATCTCGGCAGATGCAAAATACACGCTGATTACTGAGTCACATTACTTCGTTAAGTATCGTATATTCATCCGAATCGTAAATCCAAGAATCACAGTCGCGAGTGACGTTGGTGAACGATGCTTCTGTGCATGTGTCCGAGTGATCGTTTTGTACCACATAACGAGTGCAACCGGAAATAACTCCGTCGATTATCGGCGCAGAAAAATTCAGCCATGACGGTTCGAATGTCGTATTCCCTGAATGCTCGCATTCCGGCACGAAACATCTTTAAATAATAAATAATTTCTTTCTTTTTTAATTTTCTGTCAGTAAGTTCGACATTGAGGAGTTTTAAATTATTGATTTAAATTATGTACCAAAACGTGCGAGGAAACTGTTATTATATTACCAAGAGAGAAAACTCTTTGTAAAGTAGAACTAATATGGCCAGCTTAGATATACTGAGTATACACATATCGATTGCAAAGTTTTTTTTTTGTTACGTTTATTATTCCAGATTATGACTTCTAATTCACCTGCTAAATATCGTGGAAAAAAGTAAATAAATAAATAAGTTAATTGTTTGAAAAATAGCTCTTTGTATATTCTTATATAAACATGTCGATGTGTTAATACACTTATAATCTTAATAAAAGTTTATATTGGATTTCTTTATTTTCCGTTACAAAGAGTAATACTACAAAGAGTAATACTAACATGTACTTAATATGACCTAAATGCTATACTATTTTTTTAATTCTTCACTACATTCACAAACGTAAATATGTATTTGAAAATGTCTTATATTTTTTAATATTCAAAAATATTTTCTCTTTTGAATCTGGCCATCAGTTTTCAATTTTAGATTCAGTAAAAAATTAAAAATAATCGTAAAGCTTAGATAAGCCATGTAGGGTCCGATTACTTTAATTAGTAAAGATACTCATATGTGTACCTGTAGTTAACCTTGCCCGCAGTAAATACATAAGAAAATGCGAATCCTGCCGTTAGCATCAATGTCATACTAATAAATGTGAATACCATGATCTGATAAAATCCAAATTTGTCTGTAGCATTTTCCGATGACGAATCGTTCGTAATTCCTATAAAAAAAAAGACTATGATCCGTTTTTCTCGATTAAGAAATCATAATAAGAAAAATTATTTTTCTGACGCTTTAGCAATTTTATGATTACGTTAATGTGAGTATAATCATTCATACCATTTTCTAATCCCGACCGCAGCGGGTCAACCTTGCCCTTTCTCGAGCAGCACAACCACATGCTGTCGTATACCGTACGCTGTAATCATATTTAAAATATATTACTTTCATTTACGTATTTTTTATTACTTATCGGAAATATCGTCACCAATCGAATCTGTTGTATTATATTTCAAGTTTTCTGATAACATCGCGCAATAAACAATGATGAACGATAAACAAAAAATTCCAATAATTTAGAGAGCTACTGTGCATTTTACAAAGGTGCTATTTTTGAAAATGCTAAGTCCATATTGTAATCGATTATTTGCACATAATGCAAAATAATTTTACATTGTAAATCGAAAAGCCAAGAACAAGACTTTGTGCAAAGTAATTGTCCGATTCGTATTTTATCATTTCCTTGTCGTATCGCTGAGCATACGATGGAACACATTTTCGGTTTTTGAACAACTATTATTTATTTCTAATGTCATATTTTTTTTATTTGTCACTGGGCGATAGAATCTCTAAAGAATGAGATTTTACTCTTTAAAGATTTTACTTCAAAGAACTTATTATAGAAAGTTTTTTACAAAAATTTCTGTTAGATTATTTAAGCGTACGCGTTTTAATGTGGAAATTTGCAGAGGAGCAGCTATGTATGCGATTCTCGTATTTCTAATTCAATTTTCGTAAAAATATACAAAATATACTTAATAAATAAATAAATAATTGTGAAATGTTTGAAAAATACCAGGAGAAATTTTAGTGCCCTTTCTCCCGTCGAAGGGTGCTTGTTGATCATTAACTTCTGTATGTGACATACGGGTATTGATTTTTAACGATATTGGAAACCGGAAAACCGCCACACTCGAAAGGAAGAGACAGAAAAAAGTTGAACCGCCAAATAAGATAAAGTAATTTTTCAATTGCGCCAGATTGCTGCCCCAATTGTGTAGTTATCCTATTAATTGCGTAATGTCACCATGCGAATGGTGAAATTGCGTAAAGGAAGTAACTATCAGCGCGTATATTACGATATTTATTATACATACTAATGTTGCGTCGCTATTTTGCGAAAGTTTTTAGTAAAGTTTAGCTATTTTTGCGATTTATGCGTGATAGGCATTATTTCCGCGAAAACGAGGTTTATGAGAAACTATAAGAAAATGTTAATAAATTAATAGAACATCTTGCTATTCCATTCATTATTCGCGTGAGGTGACTCGAGAAAATTTCTATAAATATCAGGGATGGTCGGTACAGCGTCGATATTTTAAATATCGACATTTTATCTATTTTCCCAATATTTTGAATCGATATTTGAACAAGAATATCGAACTTCTGATATAGGGTGCGCTCCGTTTTATGCTTACAGCACTTGTCATCATTTATCTTCATTTAATATTTGACAACAAGGATGAATTTATGCTTACAGCATGTGAGCGTGAAGACGAAATGTCCCACAGTTCATTATAAATTATGTATAACCGCATGTTAATTTAGTACGGATTAAGATTGGATTGAAACTTTCATTATTAATAGGTACTCATTGTTGCAAGAATGTATAAGATTAGAATCATGTAAGTAAATAAAATAAAAATAAAAATAAAATGTGTAAATGTATATATATAAAATATAAAAGTGTATTCTATACATACACAGTAAAAAATCGTGCGTCCATATTTAGAATTTTTCTTGTGTTACTACATTTTGATTATTACTTCAATGTAAAATAAACATACAACTGATATGTTATTATTTTTGTAATATTTTGATGTGTTAGATTCATGTCATCTTTCTTAACAATTGCGTATGTCATTTAAAAATGGAATATTATTTTGAGTATTTTTAATACAATTGTTTCAATTAATCTATATATCTCAAAGTTAATTTAATATCTAAGAATTTTTTTATTCACATTATACGAACAAAAATGTTTTATTAACATTTTCTTACGAATTACTGCAACTACTCTTCTATGTACTCTACTTATTTTATATATTAGTTTTAAATCACCCTTAAAGTCAAAATAACAAATATAAATGTAAAGTATTGTGTCAATTATTTAACATTCAATTATTTAACTAGCTCGTTAATAAATAACACAAGAGACGAATGAGTTATTTTAACTTAAAATTTAGAGTAGATCTCCTGGGACATGTAAAAAATGTTAAAATTAACATTTTCTTTTTTACTGTGTATACGTTATATAAAATAAAAAGTAAAATGTATATGCAAATATAATATATTTCACTTACAAGTTATATACATAACATTATATACATCTATATATATAATGTACTAGTTGCAATAAAAATAATTTTTTTTAAATTCTGATTAGAATAATTATTCAAAGGATCGATGAAACAGTCTTAAAATGATCTCTAACCGTTATTTTTGTAAAAAGATCGCTTTTTTGTGCATCGCGTATCAATATGCATTGCCTAAAAATAGAAATATCGATCAACAATATCGCATATTATCTAACCGATATTTTAAAATATCAATATTTCTGTTTACGATATATCGCGAAACGAAATTTTTCCGATTTTTTTCGAGATTTTTTTCTGTATCGCCCATCTCTACCAAATATGATTCAGTGAACCAACGCGTAACGGTTCAAATTAATCTTGGAGATATTGAGAAGACATACATGTATTTTACTTTTGGAGAACACGCGGTACAGGAAATGAGGCAACAAAAAATGAGCTATTAGTTCCATGATTTTTTAAATATTCTTTTAGTTCGCGAAAGGGGAGCTCTTGCGTAATAGTCGAGCCATATGATTTCATATATAATGGATTCTAAATACGATCGTAATTAAATATCAGGAGGCAAATCATACTCAAATTATAAAGCAAGGGCGGTTTTGTATTCGCACAAATATATTACATCTCATCAGCAAATAAAACAATATAATAAAAAAATATTATATGTAATAATACACATATATATATACATATATATATGTAAATATATTATATATGTATATACACAATTACACAGAATCACACAAACATTTTTTGAAGAAAAAGACAAGCCAAAGTAGGTGTTCCTTATGGATTTTGGGTCGCTGAATTCGAATTCGTAAGACGTTTTGCTCCATCGTCCAATTTTTTAGATAATCGAGAAAATTGAAATATTTGAGGAAAGAACGAAAATAAATATGATATTAAAATGTGGTCGCAGAATTGATTTAAATATATTTTGGTAAATTAAAAAAATTAATGTAAGAAACAAAAAGAATTTGCTTATTATTAATGTTAGGTATAGCCTAAGGTTGTATTTATGTTGGAGCAATCATAATTAAACGATAAGTACAGCGGTACTAGCGAAGTAGCGAAAATAAATGCATTGGTTTCCATATATAATTAAGTATTTATATTGGAGCGCGGAGCGAGGCTTTGTAGTCAACCAGCAATAAAAGTTGTTAAGAAAGAGAAATTTGAACTTCTATGCTGTCATCGATTATAACAATGTTGTTCAGAATTTATAATTTTAAGCTTATAATTGAAGTTTGTCGGTGTTCGTGCCACTATTGCCGTTCCCATTCCTCACTTCATAACTATTGTATATTTTCGTAACGCGCAACACTTAGTTTCAGGGATAAACCAATTTGAAATCGTTAAACATTTTTTACATATTATTCCACTTAAAAAAAACGCATTTGTAATAGTACTTTACGCAGATCTTCAACATGCCCTTTTATAATATCTGTAGGTAATAGTAGTTCTTCTGAATCACTCATTTTCGGAGACGATTCACCTCAGTCAGAAGTTAGAAATATACTATCGTTACAGCTCCACTATAAACACATCAAAGAAAGATACATGTAATTAGTCATTATCGCAACTCTTATCACCGCTTTTATAATTTTTATCATTGCTCTAAAATAAACACATTCTAATACTCCATAAAACAAATTGGTGTTAAGTATTACTTTACAGCAGTCAGACGATCTGCGTGTTATGAAAGGTTTTTTAGCTTCAGAAATAGATATTTTAACAATTACTTTTGGAAGATAAAATAACAATTACAATAAAACCTTCCATGACGCAAATCGCCTGACTGTTTGTTGCACAACAGTATTTTACACCAACTTGTTTTATAACACGTCAGACTATAATACCTAACATTAGTAAATTCTTTTTGTTTCTTATACTTTCTTTAATTTATCAAAATATATTTAAATCAGAGTTTTGCGATCATATTTTAATGACATTTATTTTTGCTCTTTTCTTAAATATTTCAATTTTTACAAATATTCCTCTATTTCTCTTGATTATTTAAAAAAAATTGCACGTGATGTAACAAAATGGCGTATAAGACAATTTTAAGATATCTTTCAGAGTTCTTTATGAATCGTATAATAAAGATATTTCTTAAAGAACAGCTGTTAAAGATGTCATAAAATTGTCTTATACTTAAGCTAATTTTGGACATTCTGCTTATTGAGTTACGAATTCGGATTCCGAGATCCAAAATCTATAGGAAACACTTACTCTGATTTGTGTTTCTCCAAAAAATTGTTTGTGGTCCTGTAAATTATTATAATTTATACATATATATATATAATAATATAATTAATTATATATATAATAATATATATAATTAATTATAAATAACGAAATTACACACAACTTAAAATTAACTAAACTCGAAGCTCTAAAATTGGATTAAATTATATTTTATAAATTACTAATATTTTACTAATATTTAAAAAAAATTAAGTCAATGATAAATTAATTCTACAAGTGATAGATTCAAATGTTCTTAGACTAAAAATAAAACTTATTAAGCTGTTATTATCGTTTACTTCATATATATATATATTACGCTTTTACAACTAAAAAAATTATTCATATGCTTTGGAAATCTCACCTGTCGAGAATACATTAATAACCATAACAATAACTATCGTAAGAACTATTAAGAATATATCCATATTATTATCTTACTTTAATCCTGTATCTTGTTTCGATACTTTTAAAAATCAGTCTCCACACAGTTCAATATAATAGAATTATCTGCACAATAGCACTGGCATTTCGACGTATTTACGCACAAAATACATACTTTAATGTAAT